ACATTCAGTTGTTAGAGAGTCCAACAACTAATTGCGATTCAGATAATTTTGATCCATTCCTTTCCAATGAAGACATGTTACAAATGTTCCTTCAGGGTGCCTCCTTTCAATTCTAAACATTCAAATTCATAACACTTTGTAAATAGACATTTTATTTAAAAAGATCCTATCCATGAAACGAACAACGTTTTCATTTGGATGAGTTATTGTAAACATTTGGAATTTCAATTTAAAAATTCTTTTAAAAAAATGCAAATACGAATTCTCGTAATTTTACTGTTATTTTTCCTTCTTGGAGGAATTTTCGTTCATCAAGCAAGTGCTGAAACCGATCATTCCGAAAGTAATTCTCTGTTTGATATATTTACAAATATTGTATCAATTACAACTATTGGTCATGACATTGAATATAAAAAACAAATACTTGCAAAAATAGTAAATTCTAAAGCTATGCAATCTACTTTACAATCTGTGAAGGAGATGTCAAATAATTTAATGGAAAAGGGTGGTGAATTGTTTGAGAATGGAAAACAAGAAGTTTCTGCTCAATATTCTAAAGTTTCAAATTCTGAAACTTTACAATCTGCTTTACAGTCAGTCAAGGAAACATCTAATGATTTATTAGAAAAAACTATTGATTTTGTAAAACAGCAATTAGATGTCATCCCACCTTCTGAACAAGAATCTCCAAATCAGGACGAAACTAAACCAAGAGAATTTGAAACAATCAAACAAGAGGAAATAGTAGAATCTGCTGGTGATTCATCAAAGAAAGAAGTAAAACAAGAGGAATCCAGTACAGAAATCACAATTCACCCAAAATATTCTGACAGAATGAATTTTAAAAGGAGTACCTCTTGTGAATTCAAAACAACTAGGAAATCAAATCTTCTTCTTAGTGCAGCAGCTGTAGGTGCTGGAACCACAATTGTCTCTGCTGCGTGAAGATTTGAAAGTTGTTGATTTGAAAACAAATAGAGAAATTAAGAAATATTTTGATTCGATGAATAAGGAAGTATTGATGGTGGATGTTTACAATAAGAAAATTAAGGAAATTAAGAAACAAATGGAATGCCAATGA